TCAACTAGTTCGCCTGCTGGCGATCTAAGCCGAGCTGGCTTAGATCGCCAGCAGGCGAACTAGGGAACCCTTGGCTAGTTCGCCTGCTGGCGATCTAAGCCAGCCCGGCTTAGTTCGCCAGCAGGCGAACTAGGGACCTCCCGGAGCCTCGATTTCCCGCATCCCCGATTCGACCTTACGACACGGTCGCTTTCTGAACACGGTCGAAATGTCTCTCGTTTCGTCTCGATCCGACTTACCGTTCGAGTTTTACGATAAGAACCGTAAAACTTCGTTTTCTCGGAAAGAACTCGAGGAAATCGTATAAAACGGCAACGGTTAAACAAAACACCGAACATTGCCTAAACTATACGATTTATTCGAGATTTCTCGTTGAAATCATAAGAAACGCACTTTTAATAAAAAACGCTGAGTAAGTCGTAAAAAAACGTGTTTTTAATAAAAAGTCGAGTAAATCGTAAAACTTTGCGATTAACTCGAGAAATTTATTAAAAACGACGTCAGATCAGGAAACGATTCCGTAAAAGTCGGAAAACGGTTTTTATCGCATAACGGTCCGGAAGGACCTAAAACGCGATAAAGCCCATCTCGCGATTTCAACGGAATCAAACCCGCGAATTTGATAACGTTTTGACGGTTTACTCGCAGAAAGAAAATAAAAGTCAAGTTTAAACATAAAAGGAAGATTTGAAGAGAAATAGAAGGTTTCCGCAGAAGAAAAGGAAGGATCGAGAAGAATGGAAAGTTTCCGATTTAAGTCAAATCTGGGCGAAATGGAAAGATCGGATAGCCAAGACGAGGAGTATATAAAGAGGAGGTCTAGGGCAGAAGCAGACACACGAAATTCAGAGCTTCCACCACCAAAACTAGCATTTAGGAATATTTCCGTTTTTCTTTTAACGAGCTGCGTCTCAATTAGGGTTTTCTAATTCTTACGCTTTCGGCAATTCTTTTTGTACCAGTTCTACGCAGATTCGGAATAAGAACCTCTTTGCTCTCTGTTTTCGTTTATTCTCATTTAAATTCTAAGTATTTTCGTCATCTTATTTTCGTTGTGCGGTTCTCGCAGATAGCCGGTTCCTCTGGAAACTTAGGGTTTTCCCGAAGTTTCCTTTTTTACGATTTATT